CCCCCCCCCGACTTCTCCATTTCACCCCACAGACTCCTTCATTTCCCCCATCATATCATCCTTTGGACTTCTTTTCGCCCTTTGATCTCCTTCCTTTCAACGCCCTGGTCTCCTCCATTTCATCCATATCTTTTTTAGATTAAACTTCCTAATAAAGATGAGACATTTTTGTACATGGGGCAGCCAATGAAATCAGAAGACACGCTACTGACCACACCCACAAAATGTCGACCACATTTGTAGCCACGTCCACAAAATCCCAGCTCACATTTTTTTTAAACGCATGCTCAAAACAACTGGTCATCAACGTTTAGAGTAGGAGAGACAGACATTCAAGATATAGACAAAATAATCAGATTACCAACACGAGGCACTAAGATATGAATGAGCTTAGGGTTAGCACATTCATATCTTGAGCTCATCGTTCATTGGCTCTAGAAGGAATGAATGAATACGGGAGAGCAGGTTCCAGTGAAATGGTGTGCAGAGCCTCAATTTAATACAAACATGAAATAAACCAAAGTACATTGCAACCGCTGGTCTCTAGGCCGTGGTCTGGTCCTCACCATCAGGAGGCTAAACCAAAATGGCACCCGCTTCCCTGGCATAGTGTCCAGGTTTGTCCCCTCTCCCTTACCTGGGAATTACTCTCATCCAATGGAAACCTTGTTTCTTGTCTTCTTGGTGCTGGAGGATTGCAGCTGTCCCACCATATTGGGGTGGTGCCTGAGATTCTTACTGGTACTGTGACGGACTGAACCGTCACTGGGGCTGCTGGAGGAGCCTGAGGGCTAGCCTCCTTCCTAGCGACTATGGACCTAAGATTATGGAGACCCCCCTTGTTGGGTTGAACTGGGTGTCTGGGGCCCATGGATGGCTGTTGCAGGTGAGCCTGGCCCTACAGCCGTCCAATTTCACAATTCAATAATGGCTCTGGACGACACCTAATGTTAATGACAATGGATAATTGCTGACTCTGTTTCAAGCCTTCATTTGCATGACCAATAGGAAGTGGTTGTTTGGGCCACCTTCAAACTGTTGTGTATAAAAGAGTGTGTGTGCATCCAATAAAGCAGATCCCTGTTGGAACTTACATACAGCCAGCCTGGTGTTTGTTCTGAGCTATCACAACTGGATTAGAACGGCACATAGCTGTAGTTCGAATCCCGGATTATCGGACTATCAGAGAATCAGACGTTGCGGTCTCACATCTGATCCAATAGCAGCAGAGGAGTGCCGGGAGAGTGGAACCGAGCGAGCAGGGGCTCGTTACAGGTACCATCCCCAATATGGCTGCACAATGTGTAGGAAAGCCAGCCCAAAAGATAGTGCATGACTGGCTCCAGTAGTGACATATTGGTGCCGTGGCTGAGATCCTTACTTGCGCCATCCCTAACGCGGCTACCTGGGACTGCAAAGTGGAACAGGACTACATCACCGGGGATGTTCCTTTGCCAGGGACAGACCTCTGGGAGTGTCCCCAGGAAACAAGGACAGATGGCAGCCATAGCTTAGCTGTTTGGTTTCATATTAGTGTATCTGGTGGAAGTCTAAGGTCCTACTCTAGCGTCTAATCCACAGAACTGATGTTTCCCACAAGTATCAAAGTGTTGATGGTTGGTGGCCCCCATTGCTTTAAAGAGTACTTGCAGCTTTTTACATTTTAACCTTCTAGTTTCAAGTATAAAAGCCATTTAAATGTAGAACCCCCTCCTCCCCCACCAGGACAATGCACATGTCTCCGACCTACAAGAGGTGACACATCCTGCAGCTGGACCAAAAAAGACAAGACAAGAAGCAGCAAGAACCAGCAATACTTTATGAACTAATAGGAATGGATATGGCACTTTGATGGTCAGAAGAGATCAGGTGATCAGAGGGTGACCTGCAGGCAGGATCCCAGGGGTGACAGATCGGAGAGGGGCCCAGAGATGGTCGCTATGCTGTACCCTCCGGCATTGTGGAATGATTCTAGATGATGTCCGGTGGAGGAGAGGAGACCTGCCCGAGACAAAGGAGGAGTTAGTACAACAGCAAAGACTTCAAAACTGCTAAAAAAGTGAAGATGTCAAAAGGAATTTGTGTTCATAACTTTGATATTTTCCTTTTTTAATTTTTTAATTTTTGTATTGCTGAGGATGTCATTATGTTCATGGTTCCTCCCCTCCATACACACTTCATATGTCTCTGTATAGTATACGGCTCATATACACAGCGAGGGATTCCTGCCATAGACACACGTTTGAAACACACAAAACGTTCACATTTCCATCTTTTTCTGTCTCACTTCCTTTGCGAAAGAGAAAATGTGACCACAGATGGCGATTGGCGGCACTCAGCGGGTGTCGGTAAAAAATATTTCTACTGAGCCTCTGGGTGGATGGTGGGAATGGAAGAAAAACTTACCCAGTAATTTGTTGAGATCGGCCTCACCGGTCCACAGAAGAAGAGTCCCACTCAGTGATACCGGGCTATGGAAGAGTGAAGATGAAACTTGGAGTAGACACGGAAGGGATCCGCTCAGACCACCAACTAGATGAATATTGCCCGCAGATACCTCCAGCCTGGCCTCCGATGAGTCTACGGAATGGCCGGACGTCACCTGGGCCAAGAAGAGAAGAAGAAGTCAGCCAAGCCAGTGACTGGACAGAGAGGGCATCTCAAAGGGTTCAAGAAGGCAGGAACACAAAAGTCTGTTTCAGCTGGCCATAGACAGAGAGAATTCACTCTATGGTTGGGCCTGTCTCCTTCAGTATATCTGCAGTTGCCACAATTGAAGTCTCTAAGTTGACCATCACTGATCTAATGGTGCCAAAATGTAAAAGGCTTCTCTTTAACACCGCTCTCATGTCTACTAACTGAACTATGGACCCTGACAGACCAACTGACAGGGATCATAGGCCATAAACATCTCTCGCTGAATCCTCCTGAAGTGTTTATCGACACCATGTTCATAAATCCTGTATATATACACCCAGGCCCTATCATGGGAAGCCTACTGAGATGTGGAGAATCTCCAGATGGTCCATTATGGCCACCCATCTTCTTACAGCCACTTTCTAGGGTCCGTCCTTCATCAATCCTTCATCTTCTTCCATCCTTTCCTATCTTTTATCATAATTTCCCCTTCTTCCTCTGGACATCCATATTCGCTCCCTTCACCTTCTACACTTAGACCTCTTAGGCCCAGCAAGACTCCTGGATTCTGAGGGTGTAACAACCTTTTATATCAATGCCAGGAGATCCTTGTTCTACAGAGAAGAATCCTTTGTTAATGTTAGCAGAACTATGGGGTCAGGGTTTTTCCCCATAGTTCTCCTTAGAGTAACGGGAGAACACAAACTAGCGTCCTCCCGTCACCCTAAGCTCAGTAGAACACAAGCTGCATTACCGTCGAGATCCACCCAGCTGCGTGAGTGACAGCTGGCTCCGCCTATCTAGAGGCAGAGCCAGCTGTACCCGCCCCTCCCCCGTCCGTTCCACCAGTCAGCGGGGAGCTGGGGAATACCTGCAGGGAGATGATTGGGAAGTGAGCGAGCGCCGGTATGCGTTCGCTCACGTCCCGATCTATTGAGCCGACGTGCGACAGTTTCATTGTCACAGGTCGGCTAGAACTATGAGGCTCTGTGATTTTCACTCGCCTCATAATAATTCTCCTACAGACGACAAAGTATTTCAATTGTAGATTCTAAACCATAGAAGAGGAAACGTCACATATTGCCGTTCACCAGCCCTGAGATGTGGCGGCTGCATTAGTTTTCTATTTTCAGGTTTTTTTTGGTCCTTTATGTTTGTAACAAACTTCCTGTCCTGGGGTGACAACGGTCACTGATTGCACCATGTCAATGGAGGAGCAGGGCCGGATTTACTCTCCCTGCCGCCCCGAGGCCGGGCCTCGGTGGCCTTGTCGGGAATCCGGCCCTGTGGAGGAACAGTGTTGGCACCCTGAGGCAGGAAGTGTGTTAGGACAACAGAACACCTCTCCCTGTTCTCTGCTTGGTAATATAGGGTGGAGACGTTTTGTAGTCCACAATGTGAGCTAGAAACAATGCAACCGTTAACAGTCAGCAGAGAGCACAGGAACTGATCAGCTTGCTGGATTTCTGGCAGGATCAAACACTTATTGAAAAAGAAAATGGTTGATTTACCAGTCTAAAGTGAGCAAATAAGAGATGATCATTATTAGGAGGTAACATAACTTTTTACTCACTTCCAATCTGTCTGACTCAACCAAAATTTATAGATTAACCCAAAGAGCTGAGATATCTCCTCATAAAGTCCAGATGAAATCTGGATTCGGAAGGGTGATAATGGCATCCATCATAACAAGCTGACTGATCCCTCTACCCTGCCCTGGACTCCGTTCACAATGTGGGGTCCTCTATGTAACATTTGGGGGTATAGGAAGGACACTTTATTTCTGGGCAGAATTTTGGATGGTTTGGCCTGAGCGGAGAACTCACCTGGATTCCAACTTCCTTGGCGAACAGAGAGGAATTGACCAGGTTGACCTTCTTGTCAGAGTTTTGGAGAAGACCAATGGCCACAGCGGAGCAGAGGAAGGAGCCCGAGCTCTTCAGAATGTCTCCTAATAAAGGAAAATACAATTTTACATGAAGATAAAAAACATCATTGTAATTTCTATTCCACCAAGAGTGAAGGTAAGAGGACAATCCGCCCACTGAACCGGCATTACCGGGAACTACTGAGACAGACATGCAAGTTCACATCACCTATAATAGGGGAGGGTGGCGACCGCCCCAAGGAAAAAACAGCAATTGGCTGGGGTAATCCATGCCGGCCTATCAATTCCTGAGCAGGCTCTGCCAGAGGACATCAGGGAAGACCCATAGACCAGACATACATCCCCTACAGACCCCTTCTCAAAATGGGTCAATAAAAGGCAGATTTGGTACATTTGGTTTCCGTCTCCAGGGAACGCTATACTAAAGTTCCTCTGTCACCCGACTGATAAAAAATGACCAGATCACATTTTCCTAAAATAATTATCGATAAATAGCTGAAGCTCAGATCACATATCTACATAAAGCAGAGGAGAGACTCCCCTCCCCCCTCCGCCTAGCACTGTTCTACGTCTGGTTATATAGAGAAAGAGGGAGAGACTGAAAAGCAGACAGCTTCTGCTGCACGAGAGAGAGAGAGAGAGAGAGAGAGAGAGAGAGTACAGGGGCACAGGCAGACACGGGGGACAGGGGCACAGGCAGACACAGGGGCACAGGGGCACAGGCAGACACGGGGGACAGGGGCACAGGCAGACACAGGGGCACAGGCAGACACGGGGGACAGGGGCACAGGCAGACACGCGGACCGAGGCACAGGCAGACACGGGGACCGAGACATCTCCTGAAGAGGACACCTCTCAGCTCACCTGATGTGGTCACTTGGACCTCTCCACTGACTTCTGGCACCAGGGAGCGGAGGACGACTCCCAGCGCCTCACCCAGCTTGACCCAGGGTTTGGTTTCTGGGGAGAACGCCTTGGTCAGGGCCGGAGCATTGACCTGCGGGGTGTGGAGATCATAGATGACTTGAAATCTGGAGACATGACATATATAATGCAGCATCACAGTACAGTGGAGAAAACTAAATTCTGTCTCGTATTGAAATATCTGTCTGAGTATCAGAAAGCTGCATGGAGTCAGAATCTCTGCACTGCAGGTAATTCTAAATGGCATGTTTGCTGTTCCATATTTGCACAGTAGTATGTTACATAGAAGACTTCTCCTCTAGTATTCACATGAATTATCAAGCATTGCTCAGCAGGAAGCAGAAACTGCACCTATGTATAGACACACAATGGCCACATGGAGTGGGTCAGAGTCAGCAGGACGAGTCACACAGGAACCAGAATATTCGACTCTAAATTTAGGACTTCCTCAATATATATATATATTTATAGCTGCAGAAAACTCATCAGCGCATGAAGGGTGACACAAAACCACGACTCTCCCCGCTACAAGTGCGGATGGGGCAGAACCGGCGCCCAGCATGGGAACACACAGCGGTTTCCTTGTATGTCAATCATCATCACGTCCTGTAAACCCGATGTGCAGTGTACATGTGGGCGGCCATACCGGCTCATTACATCATTTGGTGCCGTGTCCGGATGATAAGATTTGGTGGCGGGATCCATGGCCAGCAAATGAAGGGGGGGGGGGGGTCGTGATGTGACCGTGTTTCATTCCTACTGAATATGGGGGTGACACTAAACATGGTCAGAAAGGTAAACTTAGCCTCTAATGTCAGGGGAGGGGTTATGTGTTTGGGTTCTGGCAGGGGAGATGGTTCGGTCATAGGGCAAGGAAGGGTTAAATGTTGGGATGCCGGGCACGGAAGGGTTGAGTGATGGGGTTCAAGAATGGGGAGGATGGAGTCTTAGGGTTCAGGAAATAGGGGAGGGTTGAGTGTGAGGGTTCAGGAACGGGAAGGGTTGAGTGTGAGGGTTCAGGAATGGGAAAGGTTAAGTGTTGGGGTTCAGCAATGGGGAAGGGTTAAGTGTTGGGATTCAGGAACATGGAGGGCCAGTGAGAGGAGGACCCCATTAAACTGGTGGTCAGTTGGAAGAATACCCCCATACAGATAAAACATCATTGATGTCACTGACTACTTACCCGAGAGTCGGAAATTGGTCACAGTTAAGGGAACCCCTTGCAACCTCTGGAGGAACCCTAATATTTCAGGGAACCCCTAGAAGCCTCTGGAGGAACCCTGTTTCAGGAAACCCCTGGAGGAACCCTAATGTTTCAGGGATTCAGGGAACCCCAGTGTTGTATCCAGTGTTGTAAAGAAAGACAAAGCACACACACAGAAGATGACCGATGATTGTACTCACTGCTCCGACAAGAGCGCGTTCCTTCACCAGATCCACAATCTGCTGCGCAATCTCCTCCCCGCAACGGTTCTGAGCTTCGTTTGTGCTGGCCCCCAGATGGGGGAGGCTAATCACCAGAGGGTGGTCTACCAGGGCCCGATCCCGGGGAGGTTCCTGGGTAGGAGGGTGTTACAAACGACTTTAGTAAGAAGCTCCAGATCTCTCGTAGATTTTACAATAACAATTGGGGTGAGCGCAATATCAGTGACCTCGATGTCACTGCAAAATGACCGATTTCCCCATCCCCCGAAAACCCGACCCAACCATACCATATAGGTTACAAAGCAAATCATGGCGTGGCGTGCCTCGGGGTACATCAACATACGTCCTTCATGATCACCAAGTCAAGTATAGACAAGGCGTTGGTCAATGACTGATGATATAAATACTTTGTTCTTTCCCTTGTGTGATTTCTCATCTTATATGGATGGCGCGATTCCGGCTCTAATGATTGGCTGCAGGAAGAGGATTCTCTCTAGTCCAGAAGCTTAAGGTCGGAGGTCATGATTGAGGTCATAGCAATCTTTAAGTGACCTTTCTGCCTCGGCGGCCATATTGGAAATGTTTCCCAACTTGCTTTACCCCGGGCCGAGCCGCCTGCACCACAGATTGCCCTTATCTGGGTTACTGAGTAACGGGACGGGAGGATACGCATTGTACCGAGTGTCAGAGGTCGCCCCGTATCAGAGTATCACCTCCTCGGCTCTCCTCTTACCTCTGTGAAGACATCGAGCCCCGCGCCTCCACATTGGCCACTCTCAAGGGCCCGTAACAATGCCGCCTCGTCAATGATGCCCCCCCGGGCGCAGTTTATCACCTGCACGCCGCGTTTACACTTAGCGAAAGCCGCGTCATTAATCAAACCTGCGGAGGGAGAGATGACTGTGAGACATCACCGGATTCACCTTCATAGAGCGGAGAGTGCCGCCTGGGGGCGGAGCTTGTGTACCTGTGGTGGAGGGCAGCAGCGGGGTGTGCACCGTGATGTAGTCGCACTGCGGCCATATTTCTTCCAGTGAAAACTGCTGAACCCCAAATTCCGCCGTCACCCCCGGGGGGATGATGGGGTCGTATCCGATGGTCTGCGGGAAGACAGATATGGTGACCGGGGAAGAGAGGGAAGCAGAGAGGGGAAATATTCCTGCATAGTAATTGGGAGGACACAGAGGGGGAGAATAGAGGTCCCTGAGAACAGGATGGAGGCCATACTGCCTCCTGAACTCTGCATGTGGGGAGGGGGGGTACAGGAAGGAGACAAGTTGGGGGACAGAAGGGTAGAAGGAAGGGGTGATGACAGGAAGCCATGTTGCCTCCTGCACCCTGTGTATGGGGGTACAGGAAGGAGACAAGATGGGGGACAGAAGAGTAGAAGGAGGGGGTGATGACAGACAGGACGCGCTATTGCCTCCTGCACCCTGTGTATGGGGGTACAGGAAGGAGACAAGATGGGGGACAGAAGGGTAGAAGGAGGGGGTGATGACAGACAGGAAGCGTTATTGCCTCCTGCACTCTGTGTATGGGGGTACAGGAAGGAGACAAGATGGGGGACAGAAGAGTAGAAGGAAGGGGTGATGACAGGAAGCCATGTTGCCTCAGTATGGGGGTACAGTACTATGATTTTGGGAACAGGAAATGGTTGGACTTTAGCCTAGACACAAATATCTTTACCTTCATCTGGAATGACTGCATCCTGGTAGCCACTTCCTTTCCAATCCGGCCCAATCCCAGAATTCCCAGCGTCTTCCCATGCAGCTCGGAGCCCATATACTGGAGGATTAAAAAAAAGGGACACATGAACCCCAGCAGTGTCTGCGGAGGGGTGGAGCCCCTAAATCAACCAAACAAATAATCCTCCTCAGCCCCTCATGCTGTGCTCTCATTGGCTGCTGAGCTCATATATTCCAGTATGGACACAGATGTAACCGCTCTCACCTTCTTGCGGTCCCACTTGCCGTCCTTCATGGATGCCGCCGCCTGGGGGATCTGCCTGGAGAAGAGGTTGGGGGAGGAGGTCAGGAGAGGGGGGGGGGTTACAGAGCAGACAAATATGAGAAGATAACGGACACACCGCACAGAATACATCCCCGGCAGTCACATCATTTACTTCTCTGGTTCCATCTGCAGCATTCCACAACTATAAAGAATGTACATCTCTCCTCATTGCAACCATGGCAAAAGCACTCTGAAAATAGAATGGCCTTTTTCAGGATTCGATTCCCCCGGCTCCTGCAATTATAACACAGGCTCCGCCCTGAAGTCAGCACACAGCTTGCTGCATGGAATATGGCATCCCAGGCAGTATAATCCGCTTTATTGCACAGAAATGTCCAACAACTGCCCCCACCAACCATCCCCCCACCCCCTGACCTCAA